AAAAAAAAAAAAAAAAAATCAAATGTTCCTACAAAACATGGATATGACTAAACTAATAGTGGCTAAAACCAAATAGATTGCAGAAATGTGATACTATTTAAGGTGCCAACATTTACTGCAGACGGGTAATGAATCCAACCTTTTCAACGGCAAAAAGGCTAGCATACAGAATGATTGTCCAGTGAAGGATAATTCAAGTAATTTAATAATCTGAACCAGCCAATTCGCAACAAACAATTTTTATTTGCAGTTGTAGATCCAGTACCTATGTTATTGAAAGTTTTAGCCCAATTAAGGTTTTGTTATTTGACCTTATCAAGGTAAATCAGACTAGTGCGTGGCCCGTGCACCGCACGGGAAAAAAATATTACGATTATATTACAAATTAAATATATAAATAACATTGATCATGATCTACTCATTGTTTTAAATTCAGTCCGACCGAATGGACCGAGAACCTGTTTATAATTCACTTGAATACAATATTTGCTATTGAATCCGTCAACACCAGTAGGATCGATACGATTTTCTAAATAAATTTTGCTACATTTAAAATTAGTGTAAATAAAATTACATATTTAAATAAAATAGAGATTTATAAATTGTTTATTCATTAGTTTAAACATCTGAATTTATAAATTGTTTAGATATTTAAGTAACACATTTTATCTAAATTTATTACAAAAAATCCTATATATGTATATTAAAATGTTTATAAATTAAAATCTAAAGAAAACACAAGTGATTTAATACAATAACTTGATCGTTTCGATGACATTCCGGTTCTGAAAATCTTTTATTTATTGTACATTAATAAAAAAATATAATAAAATATTATGTTAATCACATAAATATTACTAAAATGATATATAAATATTTATATTTTTATAAACATGTTGTCATAAAAAAATTGTTAATATCATTATTTGAAGTTTGGACTGCATCACATTCACGTAATAAAGTATTTTTAATATTAAAATTCATATTTAGGATTAATAATCGATTTGGTATGGTCAAACTGATACATAACTTAATCACCTGGAACCAACCAAGTTGTGTCAAGTTTTTTAACTATTTTAAGTATCATCTAAAAGTAATTCAATCAACCTGGGCAGTACCCTAATTCAATCACCCGATTGATCCAAGAAATTTCCTTATTTACTGTAAATATATTAACTTTTATGAAATAAAAATATTTTATGATTCATATAATAAATGTCTACACCAGATGATAATATATTAAGATTATAAATTATATATCTAAAGATGAATTAATTATTTTTACTATGCATATTAATATAAAAATTAACAGTGATTTTCAAAAAATTAATATGTATTGATTGATTATCAATTTTAAAAGTATTTTTAGCGTTCAATATTTGTTTTGAAAGACACAAATATAAAGATCGAGATTCTAAAACATTTGTTATATTTTGAATTGAGATTTTATAAATATAGAGACCAGAATTTTAATGTTAATGTTGTTCCTTGTTTCTAAGAAAAAAAAAATAAAAAACAAAGATCTTATCCAGAATAAAATGAACTAAAATCCGAAATTTAAGAAAATAATAATAAAATTAATGAAACTTACTATTTATAAGTTGCATTAAATGATAACCTATTTTTTTGCTACTATTTTTGGTAAATGGGTTGCCTTTTTATATATATATAGATATAGATTCCTTCTAGAGAACTATTATATTTGATCCTCTCCCCAGGTACTTGTTGATTAAAGATGTCTGCTTTATTGATCATCAAGAAGCAGATAAATTTAAACTCATAGAAGAATAGGACAAGATAACTATCCCTATTTATGTTTATAAACAATTCAAGCTACATCCAAGCACAAATCACGACCCCTGTGAGATGAATTTCTCGGTTACTATGGTTGTTCCACATATTCATCAAATAACCTCCACTGGCGTTTCTGACAACTTTAAACATATGGTTTTGGCGAAGCTCATTTCACTTGGGTTTGAATTCGGCTGGAGAAAAATATCTTTCATATGTTGATCGCAGGCAAATATATTCAAGAGAAATATTCTTCTAAAAAAGGACGAAAGAGGGGGAAAAACATTCTGTAAATAATAATTCACTGTTTTGTTTAACAAATTAAATATTTCTTTCTCCTATACTTCACAAGCAGAACAGGCCTCATAGTTGTGATGGCTAAGGCATCCATCCCTTAGTATAATAAATATTCAATTGAAGTTATAGCCACTTCCTACATGATACTCCACGCAAATTATAAACATTAGTGTTTTGTCCCCTTAAACTAGGTTTTCAATTCTTTCGAAGATGCAGCGTCTTAAAGGTCAGTGAAGCCAAGGCAAAACTCCACGTTTCATCACACTTCTACTACAATCAATATGTTGAACTGAACAAACTCTAAATTAAGCTATAACTGCATCTTCTCTTCAGGAAACAACGAATGCTAGTCATCTAAGGTTGATAGATTTTCCTATCATTGGACTGAGTGCCAATCCTTTGAATGTGAAGTGGTGGGGCTGCTAATTGCTAAAAGGTAATCATATTCTGAACCATTAATGCTGAGTTGGTGAAAAAATGTTGTGATTGAAAAAGATCCAAAAACAATGTGTTTGCCTGTACTTATTCACAAATAAGTGGAACGAAAAGTTGAAGCTGATGCATATCCTCAATCTGGAGTCTAAGGACACTAGAGAAGATATATAACTTGGCAAAAATGATGTCTTTAAAATGCCATAAAAAGATGTGAACTTTTTCCACTGATACATCCACAAAAATAAAAGCATTTGTGTGTCACAGTTTAGCACTCAGCAAACTCAACGGCTATAAAAATAAAAATAAAACCAGTGTGGTGTCTAACCTGAAGCATCTCAACTAGAAGAATTATGCGCTCTGCATGTTTACGACATGTCAGGAAACCTTGGATGCATAAAACCTAAAAGACCAACATGAAAGGCAAAGCTATAAACACCAGAAATATCATGAAGCAATTTGAGACTAAATTCAAAGATAAAAATAAAATTAGAACACGTACAAAAAAAATACTCCAACATTTACCTTAAAATAATCAAAAAATTCGCTTGGAACACCCTCAGCATCAGAGTCCATCACCTAGAACAAATGTATATTTTAGTTTACAGAATCTGAGAATGACCAAATGTGATGTAACGTGGCCATATGCTAAATATATAAATATTTAATTCTGTGTACCACATCATACTATATGGCCTCACCTCGAGAAGCTCACGGGTTAACTTGAATGGAGCACTCTCAAAATTTACACCCCCAGGTGAATTAGAAAGCATAAAACCAAAGTCTATATGTATGATATGACCTTCTTCATCCAACAACAGGTTCCCATTGTGCCTATCCTTAACCTGAGGACAAAACGACCCCAGTGATAAGGTTTCATGTATGAGAGTAATTTTAACTGGCAAAAGCCATATGTATCAAATTCAAAATATTATGTTGGAGAAAGAGTGAAGCCCCAAATCTTAACGATAAAGCTCTAGTTACGAGAGCAAAAGTAGACTTCCCAATATATTTGCAGTAATCATACCATGAATAGTTGAAACCGGAACAATGAATGTGAATAAAATTATGACTTGAAGTGGTAATAAAATGTATAATGCAACAATGAATGTAAATAAAATCATTACACTTGAGTGGTAATGATGTATAATGCTCACTGTGTCTTTATCTATTTCCCTTTTCAGATTTCCTACATTCTTTGAATGTTCCAAAATGGTCACAAGGAATCGGGAACAAGTAGAGAGTTAAATTGAAAAGAACAGGATGGAACAAATCATATCAAGTAAGAAAAGGCACTGAGCAAACAATAGCTCCATCAAATAAACTTAACAAATCTGAATTTACTCATCAGGAAAATCTTCTACTTGTTAGTTGTAATTATACATTAACATCGTCATGAACAGATGACTGTGTGTGTGTGTGTGTGTTGGTGAGAGAGAGAGAGAGAGAGAGAGAACGGTTCACCTGTAAAAGGTAACAAACTAGGGAGTATCCAGCCATGCTTTCCACAAAGTTCCTCTGCAAGGCACAGTACAGCTTATATCTCAGTAAACCCACATTATTCAAGCAAGGTAGCCGGATTTTAATTTTCCAACCAAATTTAGGAGAAATGCCACTTCAATGAACAAAAGTATGCATCTGAAAGTAAAAGAGGCCAGCAAATAGTTAAAGATCGACGAAAAAAGGGAATCCTATTGTAAATGATGAAGCATAATCAATAGTATTACATACTATTAGTGGATCACAACAAAGATTAAATGTTATGGATCCAAAATGAGGCCATATATGTCTACACACACGTATAAGTGAAAAGTCTCGAAGAGACTGAAAAAATTCCAGTCCATCCATGTCTGTTATGGAAAAACACAATTTTGGAATAAAAAATATAAATCTATTTTATGCATTTGATATAACTTGGATTAAGATATGTCACCAGAAATTGATATAGACCTAAAGCATTGTGGAAGCTCTAAGAAGGTTAGGTAGCTAAGAACACAACCGCAAGCATGTTCCACGTCCTCGGGTAATAATTACTCATGGCAATAAAACTTCAAATACAACTAGAGCCTTCTGAACAGCCTGGCCAAGATACTATATGTGTAATTGTATACATTTTCATTTGGATAAAATGTTTGGAGAAAGTAGATTGAGCATTTAATGATTTTTACAATACGAAATGATGTTATATGAAGAGTGTTTTAAAAGTGATGTGATGCAAAAAATAGTAAAATAATGCTTGGCAATTATAAATATGTGAGTGGGCTGGATGAAAAGTAAATTTTAACTAAACATGTGTAGTAATGATTGATTTTTAATTTAAAAATCGTATTATGAAAATTGAAGAGAGAAAATAAGAGGGAAAAAAGTAAAATGAGTTATTTCTTTTGGTTGGTTGATAAAAATTAAAAAATTGTAATATCCAATTGCACCCTAACTCTATACAAGCTTTAGAAGGTTTGCCAGGTAGTCGACTTACCCAGGATCCTAAAACGTATGTTGTTTATTTAGACACTTCAACTTTTATGGCGTTTGGTATATATAATTGTAAGAAACAATGAACCAAATGTGTTGTGCTCCTTTGTTATCCAAAAATAACTATATTTTACCCTTTCGGATGTCAGACACGGAGAGATAAAGACTCGTGTCTAGAAACGTGGGGCATCTGAGATACACAAATCTATAGGGGAAAGCAATAACTATAGTTTGTTTTAGTGTATAAATAGCCACCACAATCACAAATTGATCCTCAATCAAAAGAAAATAAGGATGTGAAATTCAACTAATTTGATTTGCTTTAAATATGATCTTAAACATCTAAACCAACTCCTGTCGCAGCCTGATCAATCTGGAAAATCCAAACAAATACCACCCAAAAACCACATGCATGAATGTGCACAGACGCACACAAAGGACTGAGAATGCTGATTTTTCGGAATAAACTAGCAACAGAAATAATCAAAACACTCAATGAAAGACAATATCATTCAACAATCATTTACCTGAGCAAGCTTAAAAGCAGGAGAATTTTCTTGATACTTGGCAACAAAAAAGTCCCGCAAACTTGAAATATTGGGAAATCTACTTTTGATCGAATGGAGTGATGCCTAATGATAAGGTAAGTTCACAATTAAGCTTATCTACAATTATGCGCATTTATATAAGTGAATTCTGCTTAATCATAACAATGTAATTACCGTGTCTGGTATGGTTTCAATCAGAGCTGTATAAGAGGAAGTAACTAAAACTTCGTATGGACGCAACCACAGGGGTAGACCAGCTTCCTGGAATATATCTATAATCCAGAAAATAATTAAAAAGAACATTGAAATTTCCGCAAAGAAGCACAAAAAGAATACTTAGATATGGCTAGAGCATGACTTGTGCACATTCCATAATCATCATTGCACAACCTCAGAAATAAAGTGCAAGCTAACAAAATAACATCACAGCAGTAATGTGGCAGTCACCAGTCAACAAAAAATTATCATTACCCAGAACATAAATCAATTTCAATTGGGTGAACATCCAAGGTCAAAATCAGATGAGAGTTCATATGCATTTCATATTTTATTTTATTACAGTGCAGTTGCTATTGAAACAACACATAGCGACGACCCCCGCTATGTTATAGTGTAGTTGCTATTTTGTTAGTACTCTATTTAAGTGAAATAAGATTATTTTTCAACTTTTTAGCTTGGGCGGGATTATTTTCCGAGCAGAACCTCGTGTTCTTGGAAAACTAGTGTTCTTTTCTTTGTTTCTCGACATAATAATATTTAGTTTCTTTTACTTTGACCCTTTACTCCTAAAAATTGGTCCGACCTGCCGCTGGATATGACACGTACAGATTCGAGGGTTGAAGTTTTGAAGAAGTGTCAGGAGGCAATTGAACACAGCCACACTATCGTCGAAAACTCCATCACCAAACTTGAAGATCTACTCACAGTCTGCTTCAAATAAGCAGAATGCTGGGACAAGCTGACATGACACAGACAACAATCATTCCAATTCATCTTCACTTAAAACATCTACTGGTGAGCTTTTATTTCCTTCCAGTCGCATTGAGATCCTTATTTCGATGGGACAGATCCAACTGGATGGCTCGCACGGGCTGAACAATAGTTTACCATACACTGCACTCATGACGAATTGAGTGTGTCCACCGTGTTTGTTAGCATGGAAGGTCCCTCGCTTCACTGGCTTCAGTGGATTAAACAACAAATTCTTACCTTGACTTGGGACCAATTTATATCCGAACTTATGGATCAATTTGATGGGGACTTGGCGGCGCCTCCGGTGGAACAACGGGCGGCTATCCACCAAGTGATTACATTCGATGAATATGACAATGACTTTCGCGCACGTGCTGCTCAAATATTAGGGTTATCACCTGCTGTCCAATTAGGGTTGTTTCTCAATGGGCTTACGGCGGCTGTTCGAGTGCGTCTTAGACCGAACGATATGGTGGACTTGAGTACAGCTGTGTGTCACCCATGCTATTGAACATGAAGTCAACTTTCTTCACCATAACACATCTCCTGGCCAACCTCCAGGTCTAGAGAAACGGTGGACTACAGGTTTTGGGCTTGGCTGGACCCCAAACCCTGCCTCTAAGGGTTCTACATTACCTAAACCTAATTTCCAGAATCAGCCCGTTCCAGCAGCCAACTCATTTCCAACAAATGGTGGAATTTTTTCTGTCTCATCCCTGAATTCCAGTTCTTCTGCCTTCTCTGCCCTCAATCCGCCCCACCCTGTTGTTGAGAAAGGCATCCGCCACTATTCTCATCAAGACTGCCAAGATTTGCAAGCAAAAGGGCTTTGCTTTCGGTGTAAAGAACCATACACGATGCATCTCTGCTCCCAACAAATCCATTCAAGCCTTAATTGCTGCAGAAGATGATGCTGAGGCTTGGTAAAGACCACGGGTTCAACTTTGATGCCAGCTAGATCTTGGACCACGTCAATCCGTCAGCCTTGAGGACAAGACTATTTGATAGAGGGAGCATTGTTACAGATCATTCTATATGTTAATATATTATTTAGAATAAATTAGGGGCTACAAGCCCGTTAGGTTAAGGTGTACATTAGGGTTATTTTCTTAGGGTTTGTATTCTATTTAAGTGTGTCCTTAGTCTTGTGTAGGGCACGAGAAAAATAAGATGGTTTTTCAGCTTTATAGCTTGGGCTGGAATTAGGAGAACTAGTGTTCTTTTCTTTTCTTTTTTTTTGTACATAATAATATTTATTTTGTTTAACTTTGACCCTTTACTCCAAACAGGTGTCATCTTAGAAACAGGATAAAATCTGTCAAAACCCAAAAGGGAAATCACAGCAATTAATTTGGGACCACCGGAAGATAAGTTTAAGCTCAATAGCTGAAAAATAATTATGCATTTTTATCAAGTATGAGCTATTCTAGTACACTTCATGAAGTGCCATCAGGTTAGCCCAAAACTCTTAAAATGAGAAACTCTTATAGCTTCTTAATAACAAAAACAAAATTCATTCCTCTGTACATAATATTTACCAAAATGTTTTCATCTTCATCTCAAAATTCACGAGACATTCGAAATGCAATCACTCTCACTCTTTTCACACAGATCTGTCCACTTCATCACAAAAAAGCAAGTGTAATTGTTATTGTTACATAATTGTCATACAAATCCATTTTGACAACATACAATTCTTTAAACCAATTCTATGAGTCATGATCCACTATTTTTACTTCACAATTCATCTTTCCTATCACTTTTTCAAAATTATTTGTTCTTTGTTCAGAAGTTTTCAGGTAAGAGGAATTCCAATTGCAGGTTCACAAGCAATTTGATTCAGAGGGCAAAAAGTGTCCAATTTCTCATTCATCTTCTTCCATCATCAGCAATCATCAAACACACAAAAATCAAGGAATGAGGATAGTGAGGCCAAAGTCTTTGACTGAAATTCTCATATAAGTACTTACCGTAAAAATGATAAATTAGTTGAACGGCCAGGTGCTCCTGACGGCAGTCGTCCCCACTCTTCACAATTGCCTATAATATACAAAGAGTAAGATTAGCTGTGGTCATGAGAAAAATATGGCTGCATTCGCAGTACAAGAACACTACAGAAGAATTTGAAAAGAATCAAACATCAATTTGCAATAATCTGCAATATACAGCGAGTATTAACTATGGAATCAATAAATCATGAAACCAATATTAACTGCCTAATGGCAACAATGTATTGCAAGAACATTGTATCAAAATAATACTTCCTGACACCCAGCAATATCAATTTATCCTTACATGTGATCTGTTCCTTTTGGAAAGTAATGGTGTAAGAGGAAAGTCGTGGAAAAACAAAATTCTGAGGCAATGGCCCCTTCTTTTATTCAGTAAGTCAGGTTATGTTTCCACGAGATTTTTGCAGTGAACCACATGCTGTTATGTGAAAACATTGCACCCATGATCTGATTACAATGGCAAAAAAGGTTTGACAAAATGTTAACACTTTTGGAATATGACTTGTGAGTTGTTCCACATTGCTTCTTCTATAGGGCAAATGAGCCTAGCATATAAGCCTAGTGAGCTACTTCTCCCATAACCAATTGGTTTTGGGATGGAACCTCATGCACTTCACCCTCTTATAGTGTGCTTCACCTCTATGGAGCGCACTCTTCCCCAGAATCTGTAAGTGCATGCTTGGAAACAATTTTTTTCAAAAAAGTCCAATTATTTTTAACCAATCACTTTTTTTAACTCAAATCTAACTCAACTTTAACTTAAACCCTTCATCGCCAATATGATAATATAATTAAATAATATATTATCTTTAAGTCATTATTCATCACCCACAGAATTTTAACTAACCACTACTTCACATAATATCTCTCCTACTTTTACATCAAAAATCAACTTTAATTATTTTATTTTCAATATTATTTTAATAAAAACTCAAAATCCCACTAACAACTACTTTTACTACTTTTTTTCAAAATTAATCATACCAAAACCAAAAAATCCAAACAAAATCAAATTGTCTTATATACAAGCATCCCCTAAATTCAACAGCAGGCCTAATCTAGGACCTGCATTGTCTCCGCTAACCACGCCTAATTTGTGACAATTAAAGAATGACTCACAAGTTAGTGGGCGTGCTGGAATATCACTTGTGAGTTGTCTCGCATTGCTTCTATAGGGCAAATGAGCCTAGTTTATAAGTCTAGGGCTACTCCTCTATCACAAATTAGTTTTGGAATGGAACCTCACTAAGATACACCTACGCGCACACCTCTTATGGTGTTCTTCACATTGATGGAACCGCACCCCTTCCCCCATATTTTTAAATCTAACAAACACAACATTCAGTCTTGTCTCACCTGGTCACCTGGTCAATGTTCTCGTTATATTATACACACTAGTAGGATTATAAACAAACCCCCATTTGTGAACTATTTGAATGTCAATTTGATAAAAATAATCATTCACGTTTGTTTGGCTAGATGTTTACACAAGCAAAACACAAAACTACCAAAAACTGCGTGGATTTCGTTTTTTTGCTGCCCTAGACACTAGTATATTAATTAACATCATCAAGATTACGACAGGAGGTTTAAAATTTAACCAAACCACTTGGTTACATTAGTAGCCAAAAAGGAGTATTACGGCATTAGTCAATGCAAAAACTCTTAGGAAATAGAAATCTTTTAAGTACTATTTGAAACGTTGGAAAATGTTCTAACTATTCCTAAACTCTCGAGGCACAATTACGATTCCATTATGTTGTCAAAACCCCAAAAGAAGTAGTACAGGACAAAAACTCTTAGGAAAAACGAAATCTTACTATTTGAAACGTTGGAAAATGTTCTATCTATTTCTAAAATCCCAAGATCTCGAGGCACAATTACGACCCCATTATGATGTCAAAACTTATAAGGGCTGCTCAATTAGCAAGCTAATCTGCTGCACCATTTTATTCATCATTAATATGAGTATATACTATGGTTTCCCACAACCAATGTTGCTTTTCGTGATTGCAAATTGTCCTTAAACAACTAATAAGGCTATACAACAAGGAGAGAGATAAATCCCCACAAACGGCAAAGACATGGGAAAGTCTTAAGAATGATCCACAAACTGATTCTCTGCAAACATACCATTTTTCAACAAACAAAAAAAAAAGGCAAAAAAAAAAATATTGAGGGACGACAGACAAAAGTAACAACTCACAGAGCGCAAGTCCCAGCCGGGTAATTTTCCATACACTGATGCTTTGCGGATTCGCTCTTTCTTTACCCCCCAAAGTTCACCAGCTAATGCATCGCCTACTTTGGGAACACCACCATTTTCAACCTGTTCAAAATTAAATCAGTATCTAAGCAATCTATTTGCATGACTAATGTAATTGCACAACAAAATGGGTCTTCACGAAGTATTCACCTTTGGTTGGGCATCCGATGAATCCTGACCAGCTCCTTTCAGAGGAAGACCAGGAGGAGCTTCTCCTTTCAAAGCAGCTGCCTACCGTCATAATTTTCAAATTAACATACTTAATGAAAAAAAAAATAGAAGAGCTTAAGTGTCTCATTTAGGGTAATTTCTAACAAGATATGCACATGCAAAGATTACCTTAACTTCCTCAATTGCCACGGTACTGGGAACACGCCGATGTTCTTTCCGTCGAGGTGGATCTTGGTCCACTATGTCATCCATGCAACTTCCAGGTTCCGCTGACAAGATCACCCTCACGAATTCCAAATCAGAGCTATCGTCTGCATGAAGTGCACTAGCAACTTCTTTGGTCTGGCCACAATTAGCAGCTACTTCTGATTGCTTCTCCACAGAAAAATTGACATGAACAAATTTCACTTTAGCATCCCATAACTGAGCCATTGCCTGATCTATCGCATCAGAAGTGGACCTAGAAATCCTATCATAACCACTGTGGTACATATCCTGTCCTGTCCATAAAGGATAAGCCCATGGAGGAGGCTTCGGTAGAAGTGCATCCCTATTTGCCAATGGAATTCCTCCTCTAGAAAGCTTTTGTGAATTGGAAGCATCGGTTGAATTACTGCTCCGGAAATCATTAAAAAATATATATATATATATCAGTTCTTGTCAAAGTATGAGAGTAGTCACACAAGTTAAAGCACACAGTTGAGCACATGTAGCTACCTTGGAGCTTCACACTTCAGAACTTCAATGCAGATAAGATAAGGAGCTTTTTCTCTCGAATTCATGAGGACAGCTTCATCTTCCGGAATGTGAACAACACGATACATACCTTTCCCCATAGGAAAACATATTCCTGAGCACCATGAAAACAATAATATCACCAACTTAATTAGTAGATATCAACATCAGGACTAGAACGAGGAAGTGCGAAATAGAAGTATTGTATCTATCCAGGACCTAAGCTCTAACAGAAGAGACAATGGAAAGTAGAAAGAAGAGGGCAGTAAAGCACTAATTCAGCAGCTCACAAGACAAATAAAACACTAAATAATACGATCACAGTAACCTGCAACTATATAATACCAGTCATAAACATGTAACCCAACCATAGGATTTCACTAAAAAGAAGAATCAACTAATGAAATATTAAATACAAATCCATTGTTATATTTACCTCCACTACTTTGAGCAACATCTATATGTGCATTGATCTCTGCAAGTGACTGAAAAAGAATAAACGAAAAACTTCAGCAAAGGCATGGGTTAATGCAGCATCAAGGAATAAATAGAAGAGAATTTGGACAACCTCGCGAAGAGCAGTTTTTCGATCTTCAATAGGAAAAACATCAACAAGGCCATAGGATGTCTCACATAAAGATTGAACAAAATCAAGCGATTCATGATACGTTCCTTTCCTAAGCTGTGATGCGCTATTTGGAAGTGGAGGTTTAGCATGTGATTTTCTACTTCCTTGCTTTGGTGAGCCAGGATGATTCTGCATAAAGAAACCCCGTTGAAGTAAAAAATTAAAAGTACTAACTCTACAAAAAGCATTTCTAAGTGATGAAACTAATACGAATATACATCTATAACAGAAATTTGAATAAAATAATCAGCAGAGAGCTGCATCAGCACATAATCTTTTTTATAAGAACCAAGGACATATACTATTGAAAAGGAGATAAGCCCACCAGTAGCAAAGGCCATTAAAATATTCTGATGAACATCATTTACCAAAAAACCAGATAACATTCATATCATAATGAACTTCAATAACATGGTGCACTTTTTGAAGGCACAACCCCAAGTCCTTGGAAAATTCTTCACCCAGAAACTTTGACATAGGAAGCCTAACAGATACATTAAATTAGGTACGAATACCAAGATTTTTCCTTTGAGTTTTAGTGAAGGCAAAATCACAAATACTCTATCCAAAGATTAAACAGCACAGGTGCAATAAATTGATTCAGAAAAATCAATGAGCTCTAATCTGGTTCCATGTCAGAGACTTGCACAACTCCTACATCAACAACACAGTAGTTTGAAGTTTTGAAACCACATAAACAAGCCCTTTTAAAATTAGACCTGAAAAGAGCAAAAGTAACTACAAAAGGAGTGTTTTCTTCGACAAAACCATTACTTCGACAGAACCACTACAAACAACTGTCTCTCAGCACATTTCAAGACTTCAAAATTTTTTGAATTTAAATAAAAGAAACCGTGGAATATTATCGATGAACAATTCATCTTTCAACAGAAAGATTTTCAATGCAATTTGAGATATATAATATTCACTTTTATAATTAACAAACTTGTCCCAAACGCTTCTTATTTACCTCATGGTATTCTATTTATATCAGACTTCTGTATTCTATTGAAACCTCTATAAAGAGGTGACCTTTGAACCATATAAGTCTATTAACTTAATGAAGTTTTCACTTGACGAATATTAATTTTCTTTTCAAAGACCACGTGACGACTGTATAAGTTTGAGGTAAACAAGAATTGAGGTTCAACTGTACTCACTCTTACATCTTCAATTCAATCATTACAGTAAGGTAAATACCATATAGGCTTTCCATTGGGTAGAAAGAATGATACCACTCAGAAAAACTTGGAGTGCTATTGATTAAGAATTCCGCAAAACCAAAGGCTGACTACAGCAATAGATGTTAATTATCCCATCAAAACAAGAACTGTCACATACTTGGGGTAAAGGAAAAGACATCAATCAATTTACCAAACACATATATGATAGAGATTAAAGGATAGAAATATATCAATTTTAGAATATTTTATGCTGATTTTTTGGGATCTTCATATGGTGCTTAATCTTAGAGAATTTCCAACTGAGATGTTGAAATAATAAAAATTTAGCGGCGGCATTAAGTTATATAGTTGGCATAAAAATTATTCTGAGCCCATTATGTTATGTGCTCTTTTATGCTGACATGGATAAATTAAACCTTAAAAGTGTAAAGCCCACTTCCTAGGTCTTCACATCCAGTCAGAAAGCCAATTCATCACAAATCTATTCTACTTGCATAGATTTTGCTGAAACTAACCTCTCTGACATCTTCAAAGTTTTGGAAACCCTTTGAAAATAAATTCCACCCACACTAACTATATGCTTTCGAATGGATGCATATGAGATATGCATTTCAAACCAAAGTATTCTTTTAGCATCCATCATACGTGGATAATCATTCCGTTAGCTGATTGACATGTGTTAAAAATTTAGTGGCATCATAAGTTTGGCATTGGAAATGCTCTTAGGGATTTTGACTGATTTATTCTTCTTTAAATGCTATTATTTTCTTAACCTTTCATTTCTTATTACCATTTTATATTAGCAATAGTTTAGTATATAAGAAAAAGTTGCCGGTAGGATAAGTATGCACTATGCAGAGATATATTTTGTAATAGCATTGGAATTTGGACAATTTATTCTTGTTGGGCAGAGATCTAATTTTGCTGGGGAGGCTCCATGCTTCTTGTTCATCCCTATTATTATGTCATTAATAAAGTCATGTATTTTCTCTTTTCTCGACTCGTTACTCCTACCATGGTATCACTAAATACAGTTTCTCTGAACAAACTTAGGAACTTGAGTTGGTAACATTGAATATTATCCCAAATCATATAAAACTAGCAGAAACAATTATTGATCTTCATCATAAATTGATGCAAACAATCACATTAAATTTTGGATAAACTTATCAAGAAATAAGGAACTGACCGCTTTACTCATTTTGGAACCATAGAGTTCAGAATCCTCTACTGAGCGGTCTCGATCCTTAAACAGCTTCCGAAAAAAGTTCTCTGTTCCAGGACTGCTTTCAAGAAGATTGTTACTATAGCTACTGTCATTTGCCGTGGAAGTTTTGGAATCTTCTGAATGGACACGGAACAATCTACGCAACAACGAATCCGACGGGTCATCATCTACACTGTTTGCATGTCCTGTCCTATTCTCATCACCCCGTTCACTGACATCTTTCTTGTCATCGAATTTTTCCTTGAACAGTTTCTTGAAGAATCCTTCATCTTCAGAATTCTTTCCCACTCTTACATCATCATCATTCTTGTCATTACCATCATTCTTATCAACATTTCTATCCTTAAAGAGTTTCTTGAAGAATCCTTCCTTCTCGTCATCTTCAGCAGATTTAGACAATGCTTTTTCATCTGAATCATTTTTACCATCTCGAAATAACCGCTTCATAAAACTATCCGTACTTGAGTTAATCCCCTCCTCCTCATCCTTACCACTCAAAAACCTTCTGAAAAATCCATCCTTCTCAAACTCCTCGTCATTCCTATCCATCGACTTTCTCGAATCTTCTTCTCTGCTACTTGACAATAACCTCTTGAAGAACCCACCATCTTGCTCATGCCACTCCTCATCTTTGGATCTATCCACCGATTTCCGCATGCCCTCATCACGATTGTCCCTCAGTAACCTCTTGAAGAACCCAGCTTCCTTCTCAGGATCCTCATCATTCTCTTTACCGTTACCTACAGACTTTCTCGCATCATCATCCCTACTATCCCTTAACAATCGCTTAAGAAACCCACCATCCTTCTCAGGCACCTCCTCGTCCTTGTCCAAAGATTTCCTGAAGAGCAAAGCATCTCGTACCTTGGGACCTGGGATAAATTTCTTGAAAATCTTATTGTTCTCCTCGGGGGTTCCCACAACTTTACCACCATCATCATTCATCATCGAGTTAGCCGACGAGGGTGAAAAGGAGAACGACTTGGACACAAGTATGGCATTTGGAGGAGATGATGTCAACGACATTAACTTCTGTTTTGATGACAACAGACGGTTCAACATTGGGGTTTTACCTGATGGGCTACTGCTACTTCCATTGTCATTACCAAATGACATTGTCGACATAAAGCCACTAGTATGCAGCTGAGGCTTGATCAAAGGCGGCCACTCACCCATTAAGGTGGCGGCAAACTGACACTTCTCCTGAATCCTACTAACCCCTTCGTTGTCATCTACTTCCTCCAACTCCGCCATCAGAAACCAGTGGACTTTGAGTGCAATTTTCAGGGATTTAGAACATACATCTATAACAAACTTGTCCAGCGAGGGGCTGGGCTTGTGAATTAACATGTAGCAAATTTGAAACAAGTAGCTCTCGATACCAGGGAGAGGGAGAGTATACATACGGTTGCACAAGTAATCTCGAACACCCGAGTGATCGTGCTTGTAGAGGTAGCTGACGGCGATCCACTCACAGAAGAAGGCGGAGTCAAAGAATCTGATCAGCCACCCGCTTTCCCCGATGTTTTCACTCGTCGGAATCGTCCGAGTAACCTCGCGCGGGGAGTCAGCCCAGTCCCCAAAGGCACGCGTCAATCCCAGAATCCCCACCATCGTCAATTTCTGCTCATCCCAATCGACAAGTCCCAATCCCCAAACCCTTGGTTGGTAGAATTCTAGAGCGAGTACATAGACTGAATATCGGAAATCGGGAATACAAGGGATAATTGGGGTTTCCGCGACGACGCCGTATGCTGCCTGGCGCCGGTGTCAGGAGAATTGTGGTAGACACATGCGGTGGGTGGTGCTAACGTGCGCGCCGAGTGTTCGGAGAGGAGAATTTCTTTTTTAATCAATTAATAATTAGTTCTTGGTGAAGCTTCGGGATGGTTTAACGCCAACCAAAGCAAAAATTTCTTTCTTTCTTTGCCTGTAAAATTAATTCAAATCTTGTCGAGGGCATGTGATTGTATGACGGGTCAGTATTTTGAATTTTTCGGGCCATCCTCTACTATTTGAGTCTTGTTATAAAACTAGAGAGCAATAGAGATAATAGAGAGAAGATATTCTTTTGTTGTATTTTTATTATAATTGAAGTTCTTATTTATAGGAAATTTTTTGATGGTACAATTATAATAATCTAATTATATCAGAGGCAAAATAATTATCCACATACATTATTTATAATAAAGTTTTTTTTTATAAACATCTCAAATTGGGATGGGGGATTGGGGCTACACCCCCGACCTGTGAATATAATGGCCCAGCTAGGGCTAAAAAGTCAATGGTCTACATCTAAATCGGAACTACAAAGAGCAACATCAAAAGCAGAGAAAATAAAAATAAAAATACAAGATCACAAAATATACGTTGTGTATCTAAAATCAACTCCTCATAAAAGGTCGTCCTGGTCAGAGTGACCTAGCATGGAAGCCAAAATGTCAAATCTAGTCTGGGGCAGGTGGTGGCGGTCGACCGAATCTGAAGGATTGGTACTCTAACTGGTCCATCCGAATGAGCGTCCGAAGCCGGAGGGGAATGTCCTGAGGAAGAAGGGTGCGTCTCTGGGGTATAGATGCCCCCGTGCTAGCAAGGAAATCAGCAGGTCGATTTCCCTCCCGAAATATGTGTGAGACCTGGTAATGGATCGAGCGGAGGGTGTCTCTGATACGCATAAGAGGATGTTGGATCTGCCATGAGCTCTGGTGGCCAGATGTCAAAAGTGTGATGACAGTCGCAGCATCCATCTCTATCCAGGCATGAGAGGAGATCGAGGCGGCAATCTCGAGACCAATCTGGAGCGCCTGAATCTTTGCATCATAACTCGAGGAGGCCCGGAGTGGCCCATGGAAGGCAGAGATGAGTGCCCCACCATGATCCCTAATCAGGCCCCCTCCTCCAGCAGCTCCGGTATGTCTGTCGAAAGCGCCAACAGTGTTTAGCTTAACCCAAGGGGCCTTGGGTTTCAGCCAAACAACGGTCCTGAGTCGTGGATGCTGGACAGGTAAAGGAGGTGGTGGCCTCAAACGATGGGGCTGAGTACACCTTGTCCAGTCTCTCGTCGTGAGTCTACCCAGGTCGGTGAGGAGAGAGAGATGTCTGTCAACCTGCAAAATAATGTGAGCACAAGAAAATATAATATCCCTATGCTTCGCATTATTCCTTTCTTTCCAGGTGGCCCATAGAATCAGACAAGGAATAAGGAAGTCCACGTGTCTACTGTGTGTGCGGTGTGAGAAAAAACTCAGAAGCTCAAAAAAACTGTCTGTAGTGGGTAGGGGTATATGAGTATATCTGACATAGTGCTCCCACACTCTCTTCAGTCTCACTCTCAAGGAAAAGATGGGCGAAACAATCTCAAAGGTACCGGTCTCAGCACAACAATGGCAGCGGGAGGGAAAAGAGAACCCTCTCGCCTGCATCACAGTGTCAATGGGAATGAGCCGTAATAGGAGGCGCCACAAAAAGACGGAAATGGTCGGGGTGAGAAGGTCGGTCCATATGGCCCCAAAGAGGCGGTTTGGCCGGTGGCCCAGCCTCACTTCTCCCCAGGCTGATGACGTAGAGAATGCACCCGAAGATACAAGTCTCCACCTCATGCCATCGAAACCTCCCTCAAGAATGGGAATCTGTCGGATCTGGTCAATCTCTAGACTACTAAAACCCCCCACCCTCACCAAGAATATCTTCCATCTTATCTCATGCCATAATAAAGTTGATGGTGGTGGTTTACCAACCAACCAACTAATATATATTTATAACACTCCCCCACTATTTCTAAAAATACTTTAATCATTATTTGAACAAATCTCAATCTGAACATCTTGAAGTGTATCTTGTGGCCATCAGGTACCACTTTTTTAGCATGTCAGGAAAACCCGGTGGGACAAAATCTGAGCATTGTGGAAGCACAACATTTGCTCCCCCTCAAATAGATCATCTTTAGGGGAGTATATATGTGCTGCCACGTTAAAACCTTCTCAAGAAAACCCAGTGAGAAAAAACTTGATCGAAGGAAAAAGAGTACAGCTACCCATTGTCTTCTTATCATCATGAGGAATTATATCAATTATCCAGTAATCCTCATTATACCATTAATATGTCTCGTTAAAACCTTATTAGGAAAACCAGTGGGACAAAATCCTAATGAAGGAAAAAGAGTACAATATTCATGTGAAGAGTAATGTTCTCCTACCCACGGTGGGCACATGTTAATATGTCCACCGTTTATGTGGCATGCACACATTGGTTATGTATTTTTTTTAACATATTAACATCACCAATGTGTGCATGCCACATAAGTGTTTGACATATTAACATGTGTCCATCGTGGGTAGCTGAACATTATTGTTCATGTGAATGCATTGCCTCATTAAAAACCTTGATTGAAAAACCCAATGGGACAAAACCTCATCCAAGGAAAAAAGAGTACAACACTGGCCAACAGGGCCTAATTTTCAGGATTACAATTAGACTTTCGGGCTCAAATTTTCGGGATTTATTAATCCCTTCTTTCATCACTATTTTGAAGAATTTCTATTTGTACAATACCAACGCTTCCAACGTATTATTCTATCATCATATCATTCATATATTTCACCCCCATCTGTATCATTTATATTTTATACACTTTCAGTGTGATGCATATTATTTGCAAATTTCAGTCATTGATTCTCCCACTCGTCTTAACAGATCATTGATATGTATTTTCATTATTGTGTTTCTTGAGGGAAGTTCATATAATCTCCATTTCGTTCTCGATTTCAACATATAATAGGAGGACTTTGAACTCATATCACTTGTAATGTGCACATATTTTCTTCAAGAGTTCATTCATATCAGTTGAGTATATTGCTAGTTTTACCACTTCCATATGACATTTATTTTCATTATTTCATAACCATTTCGTAACTTCAAGTTACGTGCCATATGCATATTCATTTATCAAAACACCTTGTAACTTCAGGTTACAAATTTCATACTCATCTGGCTATCTAGTGGATCCATAATATCTAGTAGCACACATGAAGGGATAGTGAGCCCATATATATCGCACCCCTTTCATACTCAAATTGATCAAATATCGATTCACAAATATTTAGCTAGTAATAATTTTCTCCAATCGAGAACAAAGCATCTCATATCACAAATCATGCAAACCATCATCATTAATATCGGTAAACATCACAATAATTCATATTTATCACAAACATATCACATCATCTTTCGGCGGCAATAAATGCACTTCCAGTGTAGATTCTAACATACAATATTTTAAACTCTGTTTTTAGAATCGTATCGCATACGCTTCATTTCTATAAATTGTCAGGTAATTCATTCAATCTTCCATAACAAAGGTTCGAATTTACAAATGGATTTAGCACTCTCAGATATCTGTAAATATTATTCTTTTATTCCAATAAATATCATAAAAAGGATTTATCGATCTCGATTAGAAAGATTGAGGGTGCAAATGATTAATGGTATTCCAAATGATATTCGATGGGTGATTGAAGCAAAAGTTCGATTCTCTGGAGAGTTTTCAAATTCATACAAGTATATGGCAGGTATGGATAAAAGTACTTTTGCAAAGAAACGAAGAGCAAAAAGATTAGGTGGATGCTTCAAATGAGCTCGATGGACTTGTGGCACACGATGTAAATCTGTTGGGTTCTTGTTTAAAAATCGAGAAGATAAAATAGCATTTATACAGGATGGATTGAGTAAGGAATCTATAGATCAAACGATTAAACAGATTCTTGAGACACATCCTAGTGGTTATGTGCATCGTGAGCTTATGTCTCTATGGATTTGTTTCAAAAATGAAAAAGAACGTTATAGTCATATTGTTTCAAAAGATCAATGTTCGTAGGATTTTTGTGGGTATTTGGTAACCGAGTTACCCGACCTCGGGTCGATCTCAATGAAGGTCGTTCGGAGCTTTGTTTTTTTTATTTAATTGTCTAAATACAAAAATGAGAAAATAAACCTAAATATTCTAATCCATTTTGATGTGGTTTTATAATTAACTAAAATTCTTAATTTAATTTAACAAACATAAAATGAAAAGAACAGTGAATAAACAACAGTACAGTAAAATAATAAAAATGGTAAATAGGTAAAAAGAATAAAGATGAGGAAAGTGTTAGGGAATCGGGAAATAATTGTATCAATTCTAATGATAACTTTGAATTGCTAATCGTTCGGTTAAATGATTCGATAAACACACTAATTTAGATGTTCATATTCCATTCAGTTACGAGTAAGAATATAAACATAAATCAATGTGTTTGCTTACCACTTCCCATATAAGCAATACAGTTACGTGTAAACTTATTTATTTCGAGCCGTGATCAATCAACTTCACCATTTTTGGGTTAAAAGTCGATTAAGTAGATTTAAAAGAATGTTTAGTTCTACACTTCTACTTAAATCATAAAAATAAATACAACTCCAAATAATAGGAACTATCAACAATTCGTCATCATCATCGAACCGACACAATCATTTCCCTATCCCTAATGAAGAGTTTAGTTTGTCATGATTTTATTGACACAAATAATAAAAATAATCCAAACTATCGTTTTACTCATAAAAACTTTCGAACGATAACTTACGATTACGATTAAAACTTGACGTCAATATATCACTTAGAACTTTTAGGGAAATGAAAATAAACAACTTACAAGATTAAAACCGAGCTTGCATGCAAAGATCAAACTTGAAAAATATCAAGAATAGTAAGAACACTCTTGAAAATATTACAAAGAAAAGAGAAGGTTATAGCTAAGAAAAAGTGAAGTTGTCCAATAAGTGAAAGAGAAGAGAGTATTTATAGGAAAAAAAAATAGAAAACTTGTAATATAAGAAAAGAAAAATGTGGGAAAGAAGATAGGAAAAATGGGAAAGAAAATATGTAAGAAAAGGTGAAAGAAGATAGGAAATGAGAGAAAAGTTAGAATTTTCGGACAAAATCCGAGAGTGATTTTTCCGCGCGCATTCGCGTACGTCTCGGGCGGCTTTGCTTCTCGGGCTCATTTTGGGCTCATCCGCACTCGGAATTGAGTTCCGTTTTTTTCTACGTGTTGCTAACGAACCTCTCTATTCAATGATATATGCCAATACAAATTTCTCCCAGAATACAATTATCTAAGGATTTTTAACTTCCAAGGTGTCGGCAACTCTCTCCATTTTACATTTCGGTTCCGTACGAACTCATCCGAACTCGAAATCGAGTTCTGCTTTTTCCTGTGTGTAGCTAACGAGCTCCTCTTTCCACTAATGTGATCATGCCCAATAACTTTCCAAAATCTTGCTCTTCCGAGATTTTCGACCGTTTCTTTATTTTACAAATACTCAAAAAATACAAAAATCCACACAAATACTTAAGAGCATGATTGGATACAAAAAATTCTCAAAAAAATCCAAACATTTTTAACTCAACTACTTTTTTAACTCAACTTTAACTCAACCCACTATCATTAATATTATCAATATAATTAAATAATATCAATCAATCATTCTTACACACAACATCAACCTTAATTCACTATTCATCTACTCACATAAATTTAACTAACTATCACATCACATTTCTCTCTCTTACTTTTACATCAATTTAATTTTAATTATTTTATTTTAAATATTATTTTATTATATCCACTAACAACTAACCATACCTACTTTTTTAAATTTAACCAACCCAAATCAAAACAAAAACAAATTTATATCCAAGCATGCTATTAAATATTACAAATCACTAAAAAAAACTAAAAACTACCCAAAATCCCACAAAATTACTAAAAATACATAAAAATAATAAAAAACATTAATAAAAACATAACAAAAATAACACTAACAACTCCCCCACACTTAATTCTTTGTTCATTCCGAACAAAGATAAAAACTTAAACAAAACAATTCAAACATTTTGTTTTTCATTTTTTTTTCTTTTTTTTTATATATTTTTTTCCTTTTTTTTTCTTTTTTTT